TTTAAGAGAACCAACTTCAGTTCATTAAACAGCTATAGTGTAATTTACAACAGGAGAGCTCAGCTCTTCACATTTATGTGACAGCCCTCCTTGGAGCCATCCCAAGTACCACTCCTGTCAATAACTTATTCTTATAAGAATGGATAGATTCATCAAATCATCTCCAGTTACACTGTGAAGTTTGTGAGCTATAGCTACAAGCCTAAATGGGTTCATCAAGCCTGAGGTTTTCTGCAGTGCTTCACTGAAATTCCTGTGCCAGTGCAGCTGTCTTCGGTATTGGTATACATTACAAATACTGGTGCCTGGCAAATAAAGATAAACTTTTACATGACTGCAACATTTTAATCTCTTATTCCAAATTGGATCTTCTGGGCAAAGCTGGTACAATACCATTCTCAGGTAAGGGACTGCAAATTAGATTTTAAAGTTTATTAAAAGAGGCAGTCAAAACTTGGCACTGATTTTGTGAGAAATATGTACGTTTGGAGCATCTGAATGAAACTATAAAAGCAAAGTAAAAAAAATAAATCTCCAGTGAAGCAGAAGGCCAGAAATATTCTGCTTTGGAAAACTTTGCAAGAAAAAACCCCAATCAAATCTTGTATTATATTATTTTCATATTCTTTAACAGTCCAGATAATCTGTCTCAGTCTGAACTACCAGAACAGCCAACTTCCCTTTTTGAGTATTTCTTTAAAGCTTTGGGCAAATCTGTATTCTTGAAATTTTCATCAAAATTGCTAGGAACTCATGGGGAAACATATCTACTTTTTAACTTTAATCTGCTCACATTAAGACTTCTTCTAGAAGCTTTCCAGCCAACTGCAGTTATTAGATGCCTAAAGATCCAGGGAAGCACAGGGGTGGATTTCTGAAGGCACATAATGGTCTGTGTTACTATTTTGAAGATTTAAAGGTTTCAATTGCTGCAGGCGGGGAAGGGTATAAATTCACAACTGTGCTGCTTCTGCACTGTTAATGAAGGAGCTCCTACAACTCCCTGTTTTCAAATATAATATAAGAGCATAATTTAAACGTCCTTAAAACTTCTACAAGATGAGGAAAATACTCACTTGCTCCAGGAGAAAAACAGGCTGTATGATTTCATCTGAAAAACCTGATTCTGCTAGAGCACAAAGATTGCAGAAGTGCTCTGTGCTAACGTGGCTCAGTTTCTCCCATTATGAAAGCCATTACTTGTCCAATTGGTACACAGTGGTCAGAGTTGTTTTCATGGTTAAAATAAGCTATAAAGTCAGACTACTTTTGAATTTATCTTTTAATTCTATGATAAATTAATTCGTATTCGTGCTGTACCCTCATTTCTGTGAGCAGCAACACCAAGGTCAGTAGGGGGAGCTCACCCTTTACTTGTCAGGGTTTGGGATTTTTTAGAGTGGAATATCAAAGCAGAGAGACTATTGTAAAGACAACAGAAATCTTAAAATAGAAGGAACAGGTCAGACTTAATTAGAGCCTGCTAAATGTACCAAGAGCCTGGTCCCACAAACACATCTGACTGTGGAACCTACCAGCCTGCACAGCACATCAGAAATAGCAGTTCCACTCAAGCCTTTAAGCATTACAAGTGGCAGAAAATATTTACTGGATCAGTATAATAAATTCAGCACAGCAAAACCAGTCATTGACTCCACCGAGCAAACAGTCATGGATCCCACGTTGACCCTGCTGAAATCAATGGGAATTCAGCCTCTGAGTGATGTTCTGGCTGCTCTCGAAGTCTCTAAGCAGTGCCACTTCTTAGGCTATACTGGCTTTGACACAGCTGCTAGGTAAGAGGGTAGAGGTGTTATTTCATGGCAATTGCTCTCCAGACAGATGCAGTTATTAGAAATAAAGCCATGCAGTGAGCAGATAGAGAGGGCAGCTTCAGCAGGAGTAAAACCTTCATGTGCTGGGATTCCAATGAAATTGCTGCAAAGCTTTAAATTTGATAGCAAGCCTGTCCCTGGCTCTGGCAGAGCATAATTTTGTGGGGAAAGCAGCGTAGACAGCAGGGGTTCAGCACAGATGCTGAGGCAAAGTCCTTTAATCCACAAAGGGCCAGCAAAAAGAAGCAAAACTTTCCATAAACGGAAAGCACCCTGACTGTCCAGTATTCTACCCCAGAGACACAGTAGGAATTAATTTCTCCAACACACTTCTCCCCTCTAGCATAGATACCTCCACTTGAAAAAAATCCTTTCGATCACTTCCAAAGGTCCCTGCTGTTAGTGAGACTCCTCAGCACATCCTTCCCCACAGTTCCTGCTACTCAGCAGCTGAAGATTAATTGTCTTTTCCACCTGATAGTCCCAGCAGCTGCTGTGAAGGTACATGATTCGTATGTCATGAGGTTTATCCAGCTCACAGCACTAAGGAGGAGACAAGGCTTGATGTCCCCTTGTAAAGGAACACAACACTTTTCATTTGTACCGTTCAAGAGTGAACAATGCCCTGATTTATGGAGGAGGGAGGCCAAACTGCAAATTTTAGATCCAGGGTTTGGGGTTTCTCCTTGCAGCAAGAGCTGCTACCAGCCAGTTACAGAGCAGACATTGAACACTCCAATGTTTGGGATTTTTTTCAGGTTCCAACATTTAGTTTTTTTGCTAAGATCCATACCTGGGTCTGAAATGTTTAAATCAACATCATCAGAGGTCAGTTCTTTACCACTGAGATTTGAATCTGTTGTTCTTTAAACACATTCAAGGCACCGAACTACCGAAAAAACCTTGACACCATATCACTCTGTGCAGCAAAAAATTTCTTCAGCATACTATAAAGGCAAGCATCTATGAGACAAATTAATTTGTTGTCTCATAAATAAGAAATATGGCAAGGCATTAGGATAGTAAAGCTTGAATTTAAACATTTGGCTTCCAGTGCTAAGAATAACACAGCTTCATATTCCATTACTGAAAAAACCCACCGGATTTATAGTAGGATCTCATTTTGCTCTATTAATCTGATTGCCCCAAGCAACTGCAATAGGCTGAGATGCCAAAGAATCATATTTATAATCTGTTGCTGCCAAGACAAATTGCTTTTGTTTGATAACAAGCCTGCTGCTACCCCTGGGATGTGGCTGCACTGAAAAGTGAGAGGTAACAACACTGTGGAGGTTTTCCATTCTGAAAGGTAGACATACCCTTTCTGATATGACCAATTTAATTTTTAAGAAAAATGGGGCTGGTAACTAAAGACCAATAAAACTTCCATACTGTGAGGTAAGCAACAGAAGCAGCTTTTCTAAAGAGATGCTGTGAAAGCATGCATAACAATGTCTTATCACAAACAGATACAACTGCTCCTGCAATTATATACGCTTGGCACTGACACTGTGTAAGTGTTGACAATGCTAATGATGTGCTAAGAGAGCTCTAGGTGATGCTGCAGAATCGGATGATTTCTCTGTATCTGTTCATGTATACATACTAATATCCATCGCGCATATGATTTGGACCCTATCTATAATATGTTCCACATACAGGCTTTAAGCTAAGGTATAGAGTATATATAGTATATAGTACATGTATTCCAGAGAGTTTGATTCAGTCACATCTTTGCAGGACTAGACCTTAGGATATGAATACACAAATCAGTTCCCACAAGGTAAGCAAGGATGAAAACTCCCACGGCATCATCGCTCTCTGATAACTGTCCACATGCGCATGCTGTCCCTCACACAAAAGGAAACGTAGCTCCCCACTCCTTTACCGAGTCCTGCCCAGTGTGGACGAGGGCACAGTTATTACAGAAGAGAAGTTCTTCTGAGTCACATCTATGGCCTCCTGATCATATATTGTGCATTTGTGCACATCTTTAGACTCTGAATTAGAGAGGACTACCAGATGATTTACAGAACTTTTGTCTTATTTAACCTAGAACCCAGTTTCCTAGAGCGTTTCCTGGAAAAGGAAAACCTCTAGTATAGACTTTAGTGTCTGTACACTAATGTATTGATTTTCCCTCTGTGCTTTCTATTGCCTTCTCTTCAAACACATCAGTGTCACCTTGGAAGATGTTTCCATGAACATGGACTGAAAGCAGCTTCTCACTGTAATTTTACATAATTATACACTGTCCTTGGCTGCCATAAACTTTAATTAAAATTGCTGTGGTGTTACATTCTTGCATCATTATGGCTTCATAATAATCTCATCGTAGCAGACTCTCCAGAGGCTTCTCCTGGAATCACACTATGGTCACTGTGACTTTCACCCTGCCACTGAAGTGAAGCCTCTGGGCTATGACTGCACTCTGGCACTTCACCATGTGTCTGGAAAAGGACAGACTAGATTATTTTTCTATGGGAAGCTAGAAAACTAATCAGCAGCAAAACAGCTCAAGTCCCTCTTCACTGTTTGCTTCGTTGCCCTTTGGCTAAGCTATAGCATAATAATGTCTGTGTCTTCTGTCAAGGACTGTTTCCTTGCAAAACGAATTGATTTGATCCATCTGGTCTCTTATCTTTGGGGCTTGTATGGCCAATCTGTAATTAACCCTTTTCATTTCCAAACATGTCCCCAAGTACTTTGAAAACATAAATTAACTATACCTTGCAGGTAACTCAAGAAGAGTATAATAGTCTTAGATTTCCTAGTAGAGAAACTAAAGCCCAAGGACTCTCTAACTTCCTTAGGTAAATCAACAGCAGAACCAGATGACAGCCTGGAAGTATCAGACTTTGGCACTGCCTGCTAACCACAAAGCTACTCTTTCTTCTGTTACATTTGTCTTTAAACCACATCACATTTGTTCTGAAAAACTAACAGTAAACCAATACACTGTGGATGCAGGCATCCTAGTATTGCTCACATTGACACTTGAATGCACAAGAAGGAAAAATATAGAGGTTCTGTTCCCAGAGTTGCCCTACTGTCACTACAAATATCCATAGTCAAAAGAGAGGATGTCTTCGGTCATACATCTTCTGCATCCGGAGAAACATTAGTTGAAGTAAAGAGGATTATTTTTAAGAAATATGCACATACCTTTGATAGCAAAAACTCCATGACAGAAGTCCTTAAAATTGATTCTTCCCAAATCATTTGGGTCCAAGTACTTTGCCAGTTTTTCCACCTAAAAGAAAAGATCATAAAATACGTGTTGAGCTTGGTGCATCATCTGTTGCTCAGCTGGTCTATATCTTCTACAGAAGACCCTAAGTGGAAGAATACCTGTAATGTTCACTTGAATCAGCCAACAAATTGTTCTGCAAGTAGAAATCACGACTTATGGTTGGAATACCTGGTGCTGAGGTGTGTGCTCTGACCAAAGCTTCTGCAGCTGAGACATATTAATACTCTCATATGGGAATCTGAAGAGCTTAATATTAATAAAGGGTGAATCTGTGACCTAGTCTCTCATCATAGAGCAGGGTGCTAACAGAATCTCCTTCCCTAGGAGCCCTTGCCATATATGCTGCTCATAGGAACTTAAAACCTTAGTGATCTCCATCTCTCTTATCAAAAGTTATTGGGGAAGGAGAAAGGACAGACAAAGATGTGCACAACCCATAGTAACCTCATTCCCTGAAGAATCCAGACTATAGGAGATAAAACTCAGTGGGCACTTGGGATCAAATAAAACTTCCTTGCCACAGCAGAGAATACAAGTTTTGGATAGGAAAATGGAGGTATATTAACAGCACAAAAGGATTCATGTGGTAAGACAGAGAACGGTTCTGTTCAGTACACTATGCAAATAAGCAATGTACTTATTGCTTATAATCTCAGCTTCACAGTTTAGCCTTTCTGATCATTACTCACCAGAAAATGGGATTACACTCAATATAAACACAGCCACCAAACTGCCACTGGCCCCAGAGAAGGTCTGGCAGATTTTTCAGGAGGGTTTTGGGGAAGAGAGAGAAAAAACAATCTAGACTGGAGAGGCTGTTGTGTGTTGCGCTGTCTAGAATAAATGAATAGAGCAACAAGTAGTTGAAGAAGAATCAGGAAAGAGACAGAACAGTCCAGGGAGGTGGGCACAGTGATGGGACACCCCATCTGGCTGTTCTCCTCCTCTCTGTGATAAAGATGCTGCATGACATTGCAGAAGTCCCTCATGTCCCTGTGCCTCTGCCTGTTGAACTCCGCAGGTACCCTCACTGAGGCAGAGGCAGCCTCTTGCTGCTCGTAAGCAAGCTCACAGCCAGCTGCAGCACAACTGTGACCTTGATCTGGGCCCTCCAGACACCTTGGAGTATAAACAAGATGAGTGTAGGAGGCAAGGCCAGCAGGCACATAGGATGCTGCACAATCCTGGTGACTATAGTGTGAGCTCAGATATGTCAGTCTGAGCAGCAACAAAAGCCCAGCTGGAAAAATATACAGCAAATGAATCCAGATGACCCAGTTTCTCAATTTTCTGGTGATTTTTTTTTTTTTTTAACATGATAGCGGAACCCTAGCAGTTTCTTAAAGCCCTGCAGATAATGCATTAATGTGTGCGCATGACACTTCTGCTTTCAGATCCTCTCAGTGCTTATAAATTCACTCTGTGCCCATAAATGTCATGATCAGCCACAGGCCTCATTTAGAACAAGGAAATCTGGATGAGAAAATGACAAAATTTTTACTCACATGCAAAATTCTATGTTGAATGAGAAAATAACATTTGCTCCCCACATTGAATCCTTTCCCCTCTCCTTTTCTTAGGAAAAAAAAAAAAATCAGCTCATGTAGGCAGGGCAAATAAGGAGCTGTATGATGACGCCAGAGCCCACGGCAAGTTAGAAATCGTCTTAAAACTTTATTATTGCAGAAGGCTTCAACAACCCAAGTCCTGCCAGCTGGGCAGCAGAGCCTTGCTGTCAGCCATCATGCCACTCGTGATCAAATTCCTACATCTGGTACCACAAGCAATTACTATTGCCCCACTAATTTATAGCAGCAGAAGACATGTTTCTGTTCCCAAACCATAGCCACTTCACCAGGAACAGTCGGGTGCATTTAATGCATACAAGACTAGCTGGAAATCCTTACTGAAACCAATTAAGTAGAGACACTCTTGACACGGGAAAGCTGGGTCAGTGTTACCCCCGCTCACCTTCACAAACAACACAGATGTTACAGGAGGATGAAGCAGTGCCTGAAATTCCTTTCTTCAAACTGTTTTTGGGTGCATTCGAAACAGCATAATCAAACAGGCCATTAAGGCTGGGAGCAGCAAGATTTTACAGCTGAAAATCTTCCTGACCACTGTAGTAGCTTAAATACATGGCAGCGGTGTCAGCTGGTGTAAATCAGCCCGGCTCCAGAGGCTCTAATGAAGACCTTGGTGTGGCCACTAGCTGAGCATGTCCCCTCATGGATACAGCAACAAAATCTAATCAGACACTAGTCTTCCAGGTTACAAAATCAGCCTGTAACTCTCTTTGACAAATGGCAAGTTCTCATCACTGTAATGCAAATAAATAGTATTTCAGATGTTTGCAGGGTTGCTTTAGAGAATCCTATTCCATGTAGGTCTCTTGCTAAGAGGCAACAAATTGTGTTTTAGGTTTAATGTACAGATTCCTGCAGCCAGCTGGGAAGCCTCTACACCGTTTAATATTGTGCTATAACACAGCAGTGTTACTGGGTGTTCCCAGTGAATATAGCACATTAAGTTTATTTCTCAGAGTTGATCCAATGATTTTAGTTTACCAGTTGCTCAGACATATACATTTACATTTTTTAAAATCAAATTAGATGAGATGTTATAGGCCTGGGGGTGTGTATTATGGAGGAACAGAGAATACTTTCACATTTAGGTCTAAGCAATGTCTTAACAGTAAATTAACTTATCACCTGAGTAATGTGCTTCAGTCTCCAGTTTCACCTAAATCTAATTTCTCAGGTTTTCAATTAGATTTTATAATGCAAATAACTGGCATCAGTGCAGGAGATGATAAAGAATTTACAGAACAGCCTGATGGAATTTATGTCACTAGTGTTCACATCTTCAGCCAATGCTAATCAACAGCTCCCAGCAAAGGTCAGGGGCTACATGGATTTTGATCAACTGGGACTATGTTTAGGTGGATACTTGCATGTAGTTTGTGCATTAATATACACACATGTATTGTACATAAATCCCTGCATATTTACACAGAGTTGCATTTGATCATGCATTTTTATCAGTAGCTTGCTGGGATAAGGCAAGGAGCTCTTCCTAGTTAATTCCAGACCAAAGGCATTACTTAAAATTAATCTCAGTTTCAAGCTGTGGCCAAATAAACTATGCCATCGCAGCTACCCCTAAATCTTCTGTGCTGTCTACAGTGTGACAACCATCCTTCTGCTTCACTTTGTAGAGAAATAACGCCCTATCCTCCTCCTTCTCAGAAAGCACTGACTCCCAGCAATTAATCAGAAGTTGTGACGCTTATTTATTGCCCCGGTGAATGTTAAGGGCTTGTCAGCATAACTGCCAGGCTGCATGACATCGAAGCCTTTTCTGTGGTCAACAGCCCCCTGGGCTCACAGCTATGGCAGTGAGCGGCAAATGAGGAAGCGGCAGCCTTCCAGCTCCGCTAAGAGAACGGGCAATGCAGCTGGTTCTGCACATGTGGAATACGCGGGCTGCCCCGGTCCCGGGTGCCGTCAGATGCCTCAGCCCCCGGCATCTCCAGGCAGTGCTGGGCTCTGCCAGCTCTGCTGATCCCATCACAACGGACACAGGACTGCAAAACCAACAGCTGCCAAAATTCAGTGCTGAAATGACTATGGGATTGTTGTGATACCTACAGGCAGCATAGGGAACATACCATGTGCTCCAGAGCTTAACATCATAAACCATCACAATGAGCTAAAGACAGTGGTTTGGGCTGGGGACAGACACTTTTCTCTGCATTGCTGCACAGAGCTGTCCCCCACTATGTGGGACAGCATGAACAAGGTCTAGATTGCTAGTTCTTCATTGTAGGAAGAGGACAAGGACAAAAGAAATTAGCTGCAGGCTCAATAATCTAGCCAGTTGTTTTGGCAGCTGCAAGGGTCTCTCTAATGAACCCTTCAGTAGACATCCAGTAGTCTCAGAGAGAAGACATACATCATTTTTGCTTTGGGAAACAATCAGAGAAAACCAAACCCTCTGTCCCTATTGTTTAACTTGCTTGGATGAATGGGTGATTATCCTTCCAAAGCAAACATATTCCTCCACTGCAATAACAGGTCACTGGAGCAAAAACATTTGCCTCCTCTCTGTTGGGTTTCCCAGCTCTTCTGACCGCGCTGCAAAGAGGTGTTTGCCCCCTGCTGCTTTCTGACACATAAGAGTAGGCTAGGAACACTTGAGAGTCTCCACAATGAAAATAAAGGGACAAGGTTCAGTGTGAAGAAATCAGTTTGAAATTAAAACTGACCAAGGCAGAGATACATATTAATGAGCAGGAATTAGCAGTACAAAGCACTGGACAATATAGGGACGCAGAATATTCTACCAGAGAGCCTCCTGGTCAAAATGTAAAATGTCAAAATGTCAAAATTCTGGATGCAACACAACGGTGAACAGCTGAAGCTTTGTGGCACTTTGTAGGTAAGCAGGCTGGCTTAGGTGAGGAAGGGCTGGATTCTCAGCTCTAAGGCTATGAGTAAATGATTTACATCCCAGCTCTATACAGAGACCGAACACACTAAACAGAGTCTCAGCAGGAAATCTGCCATACTAAACCCTACCCAGGAAGAAGAGAGCAGTAACTGAATCAAAAGACCTAGGCTGCTGCAGAGCTGTCTGCTGGATGCCAGAATCGATAACATAGCTGAGTGCAGATCCAGATGGAGAGCAGAGGTGAAATCCTGGTGTCAGCGAAGCCAAGGCAGAAACCCACAGTCAGCCCAGGAGGTGCTCAAAAATTACCTGCAAGGGTTTTAAATCCAGTACACACTGGGCTATTTTTGTGCCCGCAGACACAGCTGTGCTGTCCTTTGCTCATTTCCTTCAACAGGGGTCCCAAACGGTGCCCTGCCACACAACCCTGAAGTCTAAGGTTTTCAGAAGATCTGGTGTTTGTATTGAATTCAGTGTCCTAAAAACTACAAGGGAAGGACGACATTTTTCTTTGAACTCATCTAGTCATTTTTTTTAAGTCTTAC